TAAAAAATAAAAATGGAATCGAGAAAAAAAAAACACCACGTGACAAAAATCTGGGGCGTCTAAAAAAAAAAAAATTAAATCCCGGGTAGAAAAAAACAGAATCGAGAAAAAAACGGGAGCGATCGTTTAGGGCTAAAACTCCCTGGGCCGCCCCGTGACCCGCACAACCCCCTTTTTCTCCCTGGGGGGATACCGAGTCTCCCGGACAACCAGACTATGGGGGTTCCCTATTTATTATTTCCTCTTCCCTCAAGAAGACACCCCAAGCAAGGGCTCATTTTTGGGGGGCGACCCATCATTTTTTCTTTTCTTTTTTTTTTTTTAAGCGCTGGGCGACCGTCTGCGTGGACCGAGACAAGCAGGATGACGTCTACTTCTGGAACCTCCTTCCTCGCTCTGGCTCTCGGGCCTCTGTTTCCCCTTTGGAACCTTCTAGAACCGGCCCCTCCCAGTCGTCGTGGAGACCCAGACGCTGTCATGACAACTGGGGAATGGACGGGAAGGGGCCGCCCGGCGTCTTGTCCCGCCCAGGACGACCTCGCTGCACCTGCACCGCGGGGCTTTGATGCTGCGTAACCATGGCGACCGTTGCTAAGGACCGCAGGGCTCTCATGCTGCATAACCACAGCAGCCGTTGCTAAGGACCGCGGGGCTCTGATGCTGCGTAACCATGGCAGCCGTTGCTAAGGACCAAGGGGCTTTGATGCTGCGTAACCACGGCGGCCGTTGCTAAGGACCGCGGGGCTCTGATGCTGCGTAACCATGGCGACTGTTGCTAAGGACCGCGGGGCTCTGATGCTGCGTAACCACGGCGGCCGTTGCTAGGGACCGCGGGGCTTTGATGCTGCGTAACCATGCCGACAGTTGCTAAGGACCCTGGGGCTTTGATGCTGCGTAACCACGGCGGCCGTTGCTAAGGACCCTGGGGCTTCGACGCTGCGTAACCATGGCGGCCGTTGCTAAGGACCGCGGGGCTCTGATGCTGCGTAACCATGGTGACCATTGCTAAGGACCCTGGGGCTTCGACCTGCGTAACCATGGCGACCGTTGCTAAGGACCGGTTGCCAAGGTGGGGTAGGGCTTTGACGGAGCCAATGTGCAAACCGCTCAGATGATGTCGCTAAAGGGCTCGTTTTTTTCGGGGGAAAAAAACACAGAGACGCGGAGGGGAGCCTCTACCCCGGCCTCCGGGAAGGCAGGGGGGAGCCTCTACCCCGGCCTCCGGGAAGGTGGGGGGGGAGCCTCTACCCCGGCCTCTGGGAAGGCGGGTGGCCTCTACCCTGGCCTCTGGGAAGGCAGGTGGCCTCTACCCCGGCCTCTGGGAAGGCGGGTGGCCTCTACCCTGGCCTCTGGGAAGGCGGGTGGCCTCTACTCACGTCCTTGGCGGAGGAGCCCGAGACCTCGATCCAGGTCTTGGAGAAGAACGCGCAGGAGCCCAGCATGAACACGATGTAGACCACGGCGTGCACGGGGTCCTCCAGCACCGACCCGAACGACTCCGGAGGGGACAGGTAGTAGCAGAGGCCGCCCACCGGGTAGGCGCGGGCCGGGCCCCCCGAGGACGTGTCCTGGGACGGGCGGAAAACACACACGTGGAGGCCCGGCCTCCGCGCCCCCCTCAGACTGGACGAGGGAATCCGATTTTTGCCTCTGAGCGTCCACACCGCGGTCTTGTTTTTTTTTTTTTTTTTTTTTTTTTTGAGGCAGAGTCTCGCTCTGTCGCCCGGGCTGGAGCGAGTGCAGAGGCGTCGGCCTCGATTACGGCAGCCTCCGACTCCTGGGCTCGAGCGAGCCTCCTGCCTCGGCCTCCCTCCCGAGGAGCTGGGACGACAGGCATGCGCCACCACGCCCGGCTCAGCTTTTATATTTTTAGTTGTTTGGCTAATTTTCTATTTTTAGTAGAGACGGGGGTCTCGCTCTTGCCCAGGCTGGCCTCCAACTCCTGACCTCGAGCGATCCTCCTTCCTCGGCCTCCCACCCGAGTAGCTGAGACTATACGCATGCGCCACCACAATGCCCGGCTAATATTTTTCTTTATATATTTCTAGTCGCCCCGCTCATTTCTTTCTATTTATAGTAGAGACCGGGTCTCGCTCTTGCTCAGGCTGGCCTCCACCTCCTGGCCTCACGCGCGATCCTCCCACGCCCGGCTAACTTTTTCTATATATATTTTTTAGTTGTCCAATGAAACTACTTTCTTTCTGTTTCTTAGTAGAGACGGGGTGGTCTCACTCTTGCTCGGGCCGGCCTCTACCTCCTGACCTCGCACGCAATCCTCCCACCTCGGCCTCCCATAGTGCTGGGACGACAGGCGTGAGCCACCACGCCCGGCTATTTTTTTTTTTTCCAACATATTTTTAGTTTTAGGTCAATTTCTTTCTATTTTTAGTAGAGACGGGGTCTCGCTCTTGCTCAGGCCGGCCTCCAACTCCTGACCTCGAGCGATCCTCCTTCCTCAGCCTCCCTCCCGAGTAGCTGAGACTACAGGCATGCGCCACCACGCCCGGCTAATATTTTTCTCTCTATATTCCTAGTCGCCCAGCTCATTTCTTTCTATTTATAGTAGAGACCGGGTCTCGCTCTTGCTCAGGCCGGCCTCCACCTCCTCACCTCAAATGATCCTCCCGCCTCGGCCTCCCAAGTCGCTGGGACTACAGGCGTTCGCCACCACGCCCGGCTAACTTTTTCTATGTATATTTTTTAGTTGTCCAATGAAACTACTTTCTTTCTGTTTCTTAGTAGAGACGGGGTGGTCTCGCTCTTGCTCGGGCCGGCCTCTACCTCCCGACCTCGCACGCAATCCTCCC